CTAATGCGTCCTTAAATTTATTTTTCAGTTCTTTATAGCTTCATTGTGTAGGTCTTTAACATCTCTGGCTAAACTGTATGTTGGGAGGTGTGTGTGTCTGTGCTAGGCTATTATGTATAGGGAGAGGGTTAGTTGAACTTACTGTCTTGCCTATGGTTGGTTAGTCGGTACTGAAGGAGAGAGGTTGACATCCACCAGAGATGTTTTTTGTGGCAGTAGTTTTTCTTGGTGTATCAGAGGCCTCTGCTGGCCACACTTGGCCTTTCATCCTGTGGGTTGGGCAAGACTCCCCAGATGATACCCATAGGTGTGACTGTTTCAGGTAAGGGATTTCTCTCAAGTGTACTGGCTGTGTGGGAAACAGCCACATCACTGAGATCAGTGCAGGCAGAGCACTCTTGCATAATAATCACCCTGCAGGAAGGATGCAGTTAGGGGCATCATGTAGCCCCCCCCCCCCCCGCAGCTCAGAGCTCTCAGGCTTTGCAGCAGTAACCCACAGGTTGCTCCAGAATTTTAACCGCACACTGACCCCCAGGCTCAGTGCTATGTAACTGCAGGGTAATTCTCAGTTGATGAGATCTGTTCCTGGCCACTGCAGGCAGAACTCTCTCTCCTCATACACCGCTAGACTAAGCCAGGCTCTCCCCTCTTACAGCCCCCTTGCTCTCCATGACTGCCTCACCTGGGCCCTTCTTCTTCCAGAAGTATGGCAGGCCAAATTGAGATTCCTTTGCCTGTGGATGTTCCCTAATCTCGGGTCCTCCATCAGGCCCAGTTGTTAACATACAGTTATCTCACAAAAATACCCCCTCGCTGTTCCATCCACTGCTGACCCACCTGGCAGATGAATCGTTTTCTCACGGAAACCTCTGAGGCTGGATCTGAGGCTTTCAAGGGCTGCAGCTGATTGAGATAGGACTACACGGCTTTCCTTTGGCTCACCTTTTGGAAGTGGCTTCTGTCTCCCCCCTCCCTCTGCCAGACAACTACCTGGCCAACACTGTTTGGCTTGCTTCTCGGTGTCCTGCATTATTTTCTCTGCTCATATCCGGTAAACCCCACACACCCACGCACTCCCTCCATGGCTCTCAGACGCACTTCCTCTACTTCTCTCTTTGTAAGGTCGTCTTCTTTTGTCTTGTTCTGACGTGCTCCTTCACCAGCTCACACAGAGGCAGCCGCTACTACACCATCTCATACAGAAGTTCAGTTTTATTAATGGTTGTCCGCAGTTTCATTGTGGATGTAGACTGTGTTGATTCATTCATCTCTTGGTGGGCATCTAGGTCGATCTGTGTCACGGCTATGGTGACTAGTTCTGCAAGTGGACAAGGACGTGCACTGTCTCTGTGTGTTGCTGACTTAGATTCCGTAAGGCGCAGCTCCAGGGAGTGAAACAGCTGAATCACACGGTCATCCCATGGTTAGTGTCTTGCTGGACCTCTGGCCTGATTTCCATAGCAGCTGCTATGGAAATAGTTTATTCCCCCTGGCAGAGCATAGAAGTTCCTTTCTTCCAAATCTTCCCAGCATTTGCTATTGATTTCTCTCTTTCTTGTTTAAAAGAATCGTTTTCATCCCACTGACATAGTGTCATGCATTTTTTAAAATAAAAGAAAATCTTGGAAGGATGGTCATCACAATGTAATCAACGTCTCTTGATTTTTATTTCTCCGAACCCTTTAATTTTCTTAAATGTTGTTAATCCTTATAGTAAATGTTTTTAAGCCTCCAGGAAATTTTCACATTCTCCTTTTCCATTACTTTCATCCATTCACAGCTATCAGTTAGAATCTGGGGTGAGTTCTGACACAGGCCCTGAGTTTTCCTTCAGACCGTCTTACAGTCACTTCTGTTAAAGGCAGATCCGAGTCGGAGCGCGGCCTTTGGTGGGTCCTGGTTTTAGACGAAAGCAGCAGATATAAAGCTGTCTCCAGCTGGGTCTTGTGTTCACAAGTGACCCCTGTGCTCAGGCCAGTCACACTTCTCACCTTTCAATCTCCTCCCTTATAAGGACTGTCCAAGTCACTATTTCTAAATTCAGTGAAAATTCAGCTATTAGTCACTGTGGAATTCGACAATTCTGGCAAAGGTGAAGCTGACCCTTTTGGTTTAAATAAAGAATAAACTATGTAAGACTGCAAATGGTGAAAATGAGAATATGCCCCAGAAAAGAACATACTAGCTAAAAAAAAGTCTCTGTCTCAAAAAAGAAGCAAAGTAAATAAACAGTCCTTCTGCGGTCCCTATTTAGAATAAATATAATATTCACATAACCACTGTGGTCCATGAAGAAAGTATATTCTTTTATTGATTTTTTTCATTCATACATATTTCAACTTTTATTAATAAAATTCAATAAATTTGATTCCTTAATCATAAAAACCTGCTGTATACATTGTTTACATGTTGTCAAAATCTCCACTCCAAGAATCACAAAAACTTCACTGATTCTAAGAGTGGAACCATCACAGAGATGGGAGGAGCTAATTAGCATACATTCAAAGACTGAATTATAGATATTTATTTGGCATTTATTTGGCACTGTTCATTAATATTGTAGTATTTTCTTGTCAGAAACAGGCATTCGAGACTCAGTCACAAAGTACCAGAATTTGCTATTCACATTTTAATCAGCTTTTCAGCTTCAAGCAACAACCAGTTTGAAGAAGCAATCCACAGTCCAGCTTCAGAATCAAACCCTCCAACTTCTTTACACACTCCAAGATGCCGTCTGTGAGTAGGAAGCTCCAAGGGGTTTTGATGATGTACAGCTTGTGATGATCCTGACAAGAATTGCAAAATGTACACTTCATGTCCAGATTGCATTAGCAATCACGTGAGAAGGTTCTAGAATGCTTACATTGAAATGCAGACCCTAGTTACTTGCTGAAGCAATTCTTCCTAAGACTACAACAGACTTAGGATTTTGGTTCTGTTCTGATGGGCATTTTAACTTCATTGTAACAATTTTGTTTGTTTTGTTTGTTTGTTTGTTTGTTTGGTTGGTTGGTTTTTTTTTTTTTTATTTGTCTGTTTGAGACATGGTTTCTCTGTGTAGCCCTGACTATCCTGGAACTCACTCTGTAGACCAGGCTGGCCTCAAACTCACAGAGATCCACCTGCCTCTGCCTCCCAAGTGCTGGGATTAAAGGTGGGCACCACCACGTCCAGCTAACAAATCTTAAATCCCTTTACTCCAGTTAAACTAAGTTTAATTCACTAAAGCCATACCAACTCCAAAAGGTCCATTGAGAACATGTATATCATGTTAATGAAAAGCACTGAATTTTCTTAAGTTAACCTCCCTAGGGAGAAATTAAACCAATGGAACATGGATTGCTGCACGGGATGCCAGAAAAGGGGGATTTTCTAATAATGTTTACATATGTTGTAGCCTCACACAAAATTTTGGTAATAATTAAGACCCTTTAAAAAAGAATTTGTACCAAAAAATAAAAAACTTAAGTGTAAAGTAATATCACTGGACCAAACTTCATTTTAATAATTTCTATTGTAAGTATATTTTTTACATCATAAATGGGGTTTGCAATCCCAAGTGAAAACACATTCTTCCCCTCAGAGTCTGAGATGCTATTCTAGATCCTACTTTCCAAACCCCATTGTCTTTGCTGTTTTTCAGATTTCTGGGGCCCGATATTTAAACGGCTCCACACTAAATGGACATGACTCGTGCTGGTAGGAGCTTTCTGAAAACTGCCCACTACATATAAAGAATGGTTTCCATCAAAACGTGAGCAGTATGGGAAAAACATTAAATCCCTGTTAAGAATTGACTTATTCTTAAACTAATAGGGCCAGTGCTGTTCTCTGACACAAGAGAACACAAATGATCAAGTTAAGTTATTTTTGTAGAATTCAGCGGCACAGACAGACCTCCATCCGTCCTGCCCAGTCCTCTATGCAAAGTTGTTATTGAGATTTACTGGGGAGGGGGACTACTCGGAGGAGGAACAGGCTACCTTAGAGGGACGAGCTGCCTTGGTAGCTTCTCTCAAATGTTCATTTTTTTAAAAAGCTAATGGAAATGTTTTTGGGTACCATGTGGCACACTA